GTGCCCTCCCTGCCAGACCCTGCCCCGAACCAGCTGAAATCTGCTTTAAATGGGTTCAGCAGAGCTCGAGATGCYCACAGGGACATGTCAGGGGTGATTTATTCCCCAGGGGTTTTGCCCCAGCCTGATCCACAGGAGACTGGAACTGTTCAGTGTGTATTTTGTTCATCAGAACACCACAAGTGTTCCCGTGGGTGTTTTGCACCTGTCTGTCCTCACAAAAACACCAAAAACCCCAAACCTGTGTAAACTGCGGGGGAAGGAGAGGTGTGGAGCGATGAGATCTGTGAGAACCCGTACAAAACASAGCTCTGAGCACCGGGAAAACTCTCTGCCTCAGCTTTAGAGCCCTCCAAACRCTGTGGGTGCAGTTTTTATCTTTTCACAGACCGGCAATCAGGGGCTGTGAGTGCTGTGGGATCAGCGCCTGGAGCTGGGCTCCAAATCCCATTTCTGTGTTTCCATTTTGTGGATGAGACTCCTGGGGTAATTTCCATCTTTATGGACAGGCTCAGGCCCAATTTCCATGTGTTAGTGAACGGCAGCACCCACTCGTATCTCTGTAATCATCTCTGTTATTTTCTGTGAGGAGCTAATAACGCACTCTTCCCAATTTGGAGTGATAATGCTCCAAAATGCTGAGGGTTTTTATGGGGGAAACACCCAAACCCTGCACATCAAACACATCMTAAACAGCCTCATTTCACCCCTGGAGGGGAATTTTAGGAAGGAAAGAACCTGAGAAAAGGACGGGTTTTGCTGCAGCCAAGGGGAATACTCAGAAAAAGGGGAATGCTCAAAGAAGGGGAAAGCTCAGCTCCCAAAAAGTAAAATAATGATTAAAACCCACCCCAAATTTTGGTGAAAAAGCTCAGTCCTGCCAAGATCTGCTCAGTCTTTGGAATCAGAGTGTTTCAAGTGGGGAAAAACTCATCCCAGCAGGAAAATTCCTGCTTTCAGAGAGATGATTGTCTCTAAACTGCAGTCGGAGAGCGAGTCCAAACCCTTAGGCTGAGCCTGAGCCAGCCCGGGTTTGGGGTTTGGGGTTTGGGGTCACCTGGCCGTGYACAAACCTTCTTCCACACTTTATATAAATGCTTAGAACCCTCGCCAGCAGCCTTGTAAAAGGGAAAACAAACAGAGCGCTTCATTAAAAATGGCCAGGGAGCCCTTCTGCAGAGCTGTGAGGGAGCAATSGCGGTTAAAATCTCAATTAACCCGTCAGTAATTAATTACGGACAGCGCCTCCGGGGCTCTGCTGCTGTCACTGTGCTGGGGCTCGGGGGAAAGGGAAAAACAACCAATCCCACCTCAAAAACCTGGGAATTCTCAACATCTCAGCTTTGCTGAGGTTATCACCTCAGGTTATCACCTTTATCTGTGCAAATCTACTTAAATTTATCCAAATCTTGGTAGGAATTTGCCATTTGTGGTGGCAAGAATCAAAAATGAGGTGCACTTTT